AGCAGGGAGCCTGATGCGGGACTCGATCCAGGGACTCCGGGATCATGACCTGAGCCGAAGGCAGTCGCTTAACCAACTGAGCCACCCAGGCGCCCATGAAATGGGTCTTTTTACTATCTATGGAAAAATGACTTGATTAACCAATTACTGGGTAGAATAGGAATCACAAATTCACATCTCTCTAGTGGTCAAGCAGATGTTAATTGAATGATACCACCAGGTATTAGAAAAATTTGATATATGACAAATGATGCCTAGCTTTGGTGTCCAGAAGCCATGTGGAGTGGCAGCCGCCGCTTGGATCCAGTGGATTGCTGCTATGCACAGATCTGGTCTCCATTTTGCCAGCCATTTGACATTTTAAGAGAAATTGGACATCCTGATTTGCATGTGACACCTGATTTTTAAAATACGGATAAGGGGGGTACCTGGGTGGCTCAGTCGTTAGGCGTCTGCCTTCGGCTCAGGTCATGATCCCAGGGTCCTGGGATCGAGCCCCACATCGGGCTCCCTGCTCCGCGGGAAGCCTGCTTCTGTTCCCTCTCTTGCTGTGTCTCTCTCTGTCAGATAAATAAATAAAATCTTTAAAAAAAAAATACGGATAAGGAATTGAAAAATTTTTGGTGGGGACTAAATGATCTCTACAGCTGCTGTTGCATATGTCTCTAATAAATTTAATACAGAGGTTTAGGAGGAAGTTTTCTTAAGGGAATAATCTTTTCAATTTTTTAGAATGAATGTAAGTAACCCCTAGTCTTCAGTTCATCTGACCCATGGGGCAGATAAACCATGTAGTATGTGCTTGTAGACCTTAAAATGCAAAATGACTTACAATTCTATTTCAGTTTGGTAATTTGAAAATAGCAGCATATCATCTGTCTTTTAATTTTAAATGGTAATATCTTAAAAAGCCACATAAGGGGAATGCTGCTCTGTTAAAGTAAATGCCCCTGTTGTTTAATATAGGAAATGGCTTTCCAAGCCAAATGTAGTGTTTTTCTCTTTTGAAAATGAGAAAAGAATACTGTGCTAATAAGAATTAGAACATTTTTGACATTTACTCTTAAAAATGTAAGAAATGAGTTTTCTTAAAAAAGATTAGTAAATGATTAAAAAGTAAAAGATTAGGAGCACCTGGGTGGCTCAGTCGTTAAGCGTCTGCTTTCGGCTCAGGTCATGTTCCCAGGGTCCTGGGATCGCCCCGCATCAGGCTCCCTGCTCCGTGGGAAGCCTGCTTCTCCCTCTCCCACACCCGCTGAATGTGTTCCTGGTCTCGCTAACTCTCTCTCTGTCAAATAAATAAATAAAATCTTAAAAAAAAAAAAAAGATTAGTCGACCTTTGCCTTCTAACATAGCCAGGTAATGATTTTGGGTTCTCAGAAGCTGGTATACTGGCCTCTATAGATCACCTGATAATGTGGGTATATTTGTTTAACTCTAAAATACCCCTTTTTAGATATATTTTAAAAACCCATGTCAGTCCTTTGTGTACATGCAAAGCTTTTAGAATTGTGCTAAAAGTAAATAAAAATAATTAAAAATCAGAGAATCTTTTTACAGAAAGGACTACTTTAACCTGCTAGAAAGTTCATTGATTATTTCAGAAATTAACAGTTATTGACTAGATGGACAATAGTGTGTGGCATGAACTAAAGCTTCCTATTTGGCCTTTCTTCCATGCCCATATTTTTCTTTCTTTTTTGTGTCTCTCTGGATTTCTCTTTCTCCCCGATTCCCCTTTTTCTGTCTATCTGCGTTTCCTCTGTCTGATGTTTCTTTTCTCTCTCTCTGCTTCACAGTTCTCTTCCTCTGTCATTCACTGGCATTTAATATATAAGGCAGATATTTTAATATTGGACTTGTTGACTATAATGTAAAAAGTGTTTGGGATGTTTTCCTAAAATAAAATTACTTTTTCAAAGGTTTTGTGAAGTTCTTGATTAATTTTTATATCGTAAGTAGAGATCACTGGTGCAGAAAATCACTTCCCCATTTCTGTTTTGCAAGAATTTATTTGCATACAGTTGATATTTGAATTAGAAATTATTCTTTCATATTCATATAAATGAGACCACCCAAGAATCTTTAGTAGTCAGTACAAGTTATGATACATCATTGAAGTTACTAAATTGCAGTTTTACAAAAAGTTTATAATTGAACCTTTGTTAATTTTGATTGATGGTAGTTCAAATTTAGTGAGATTTATCTTCAGATGAACTGTTTTTTTGGTGGAAATGAATACCTCCTCATCTCTGTGTTGTAGAACCATAAAATTAATCAGCGTTTATCTGACTTTTTCTGGTTTTAACCTCTTCCTACTAGAAGACTTGATAAATACTGTAGGACTTTAACCATGTCTGACGTACTCAGAGATGAGAGTGGGTTTCTTTCATTTAATGGATCAATTCTCAAGCCCCTGCCGGACATTTGAGGTTTTACATAAGCTTCTTTCAGAACCTGTTTTCTGTTTATATCTGGAGCAGACTCAGACCCTAAGTCTTACTACTGAAATGATAGTGGTTAGAATTCCCAATTTTAGTAAAGGACAAGGTAAAATGGTTTGTGCCTTGTTTGTTTACTGTAAATTATCTAAATATTCAAATAGCCCATTAGTTGGTTTGAATTTGCTTTTGTTTTATTTTTTCTAGGAAGTATTATTGGTTTAAAAGGCAATTCTGGCCAGTCTGTGTACAGTGCAGGTAAAGGAGGAGTAGTTGGATTTTCACGCGCTCTTGCTAAAGAAGTAGCAAGAAAGAAAATTAGAGTGAATGTAGTCGCACCAGGTCAGTGAAAACTTTTTCTTTCTTTAAAAATTGAAGTATAGTTGACATACAATATTATGTTGTTTCAGGTGTACAATACAGTGATTCAAAAGTTACATATATCACGAAATGTTTACCATGATAGGTATAGCTACCATCTGTCACTATATAAAGTTATTACAATATTACTGACTGTATCCCTTATGCTGTACTTTCCATCCCTGCAACTTATTTATGATTGGAAGCTTGTACCTCTTAATCCTCTTCACCTATTTTGCCTGTTCCTCCATCCCTCTCCCTTCTGGCAACCATTAGTTCTCTGTATTTATGAGTCTGTTTCTGTTTTTTTTTTTTTAAAGATTTTATTTATTTGAGAAAGACACAGTGAGAGAGGGAACACAAGCAGGGGGAGTGGGAAAGGGAGAAGCAGGCTTCCCGCTGAGCAGGGAGCCTGACACGGGGCTCCATCCCAGACCCTGGGATCATGACCTGAGCCGAAGGCAGACGCCTAATGACTCAGCCACCCAGGCGCCCCGAGTCTGTTTGTTTTTGTTGGTTCGTTTTGTTTTTAAGATTCCATGTACAAGTGAACTCATGTTATTTGTCTTTTTCACTCTCTTATTCACTTAGCATAATACTTGCCACTTAGTGGCAAGAAGATTTCATTCTTTTTTATGGTTGAGTAATATTCCATTGTGTGTATATATCACCTCTTCTTTATCCATTCATCTCTCATGGATGCACATTTAGGTTATTTCCATTTCTTGGCTATTGTAAATAATACTATGTTAAACATAGGGGGGCATATATTTTATGAATTAGTATTTTTGTTTTCTCTGTACAGATAACTAGAAGTAGAATTACTGGGTTATATGGTATTTGTATTTTTAATTTATTGAGGATCCTCTGTCCTGTTTTCCATAGTGGCTGTGCCAATTTGCCTTCCCACCAGTGGTGCCCAAGGGTTTCTTTTTCTTCACATTCTTGCTAACACTTGTTATTTCTTTTTTTTTTTTTT